ATTAAAATTTCCTTCTAGAAACAAATTACATCATCAACAAAATGGTATATCATAAGGAATATGATAATTAGAAATAGCAAAAAAAATTTTTAAAAATGAAGATACAAAGTTTTTTGTTTTTTGTTTTTTTTATTGCCCCATCCCTGCCACCCAAAATTGAAGGATTGTTGACTGCTACTTTAATTATCTATTCTTTTAGAAAGATTTGAGAAGTTAGACAACAAAGATACATCTACCTTGTTAGCAGTTTTATAAGGTCACAAAAGGCCATTGCTTTCTCCATATATCTTGCTCTCTATTTGTCAACATGAAAAGAAATGCTTCATATTCTATGACCTAAGTAGATATAAAAATCAAAACAGCTCTGTTCAACTGTAGATTTTGAGAATTTTTGTCATTACAATTCCTTGGTTAAACCGTGAATAACACTTCTATTTCTGAGGGATTCAACCCTAGACCTTGTAGCTACAAATCCTTTACTCTATTCACTAAGCGACTTTGTTTTTACTTTGAAATACCCCTCAACAATAGCTTTTGTCAATAGACTAATGTTTTTATTTAATTGTACTCATCTTTATGATATTTCAGTTTGTCAAAAGATGAAGTTCGTCTAAAAGTAAAGGAGAAAGAAAAAGAATAAAAAATGAAATATTAGCAATTCACTTCTTTTATTGCAATAAGTTTTTTGTGTTTGTCATCTGACTTGAAAGTTCTTTTCTTCTTACATTCTTCTCTTGTCTTTGTGCAAATTCTGTTGCACTCTAATAATAAGACAAGTGACAATATATATTATTTCCTATGGGTGAGTCTGGGGACATCAAAGTCACACTCACGCAACAGAATTTCTATTCTTGGTTAATATTTATAAATTATCATATTGAGGAACTTAAATTCATTCATTGCATTCACATTTCAATGTTTAGAAAACAAGTATGAATTAGTCTAACAAAATATCAGATTGGATATTTGACATTAATTAAGATTATGTGACAATGTGCTTGCAGGATTTGTGTGCACTTATTTAGATTTTTTTACCACTTAATGAACTTATTTCATTTTAGTAATGTCTCTATCATTACATAGATATACAGAAAATAGTTCTTATATTATGTCCAAAATGTAACACTTCAATGCTCATAAAAAAAATTGACATCATTTTTTATTGCTATTTTTTTGTTCTGTTAACTGTTTTTTTTTCTTGACCCCATAAGAATAGTGTCAGTGAAATGAATGATCTTTATGGACTCTTAATTTTGAAATGGTTTTTCTTCACTTTAATTGAATATAGATATTTACTTAGGTTAGTCTAATCAGGCAGAGAGTAACTGGTTGGCTATCCATTTAGGATCAAACTCGCTCTTTACCTATATTAATGTAGACTAGGTTTTTCATTATCAGTTGCCTTCACATGTACTAAGTAACTTGCTGCTTGTGTTGAGTACAAATTTTATAAAGAAATAATTGTAAAAATTAGTTTAGGATTACTGAACAAATTTATGTAACCAATTTTTTAAAAATAGTGAGAATGGAGGGTGTTTTTCTTTTTCTTTTTTTTAGTTTCAAATTTTCCCATCTGTGAATCAATATGGCACCTTTAATTCTTATCTATCTTAGTTTTTCCTTCTTTCTAAAATAAATTGAAGAAAAGATTTTAATTTTACTGTGTATGTGATTGGCCAAAAACAGTATCGGTAATATGCAACCAGAGAGAATTTGTGCAACCTTGAAGTGGCCAACAAACAGGGAAAGAGAAAAAGGGGAAAAATTTTGCATAACCGTTTAGCATCTTTCTCCAGCACTTTTCTTTTTAAGTTTCTCTTCTTCTTTTTTTCTTTTTTTTTTCCCCTCTCTCCTCCAAACCCCTTCCTGTCCTCAGTTTATTCGTTATCTCTTTTATACAGACTTTTGCTCTTCGTCTCTTAATTCTGGAATACCCCCCAACACCTTTTTTAAAACCTTGTTTTTATTTTTAACTAAATTCTATTCCTCTACCTGCTCCTCTGTCTCTCTCTCACTCTCTCACTCTCCAAATAAAATTGTCTCATTCAAATGGTGTTGGATGGGGGGGGGCAGAAAATGACTACAAGAAAAGTACAAAATATCTCTGATGTCAGTTTTTATTTTTACCTCTCTCTCAATTTTAGTGTTATTTTATTTACTTTTTTTTTTTTGTAGCTTGAGGTTGGGATGGAGATTGGGTGGTGATAGTTCTGTGAGACCCTCCACCTCACCCAAACAAGCTGTTGTCACTATAAAAAGCAAGGGGACAGTTTTTCCAGTTGCTGTCTGGGCCTGGAGGTTTGAGGAGTCTGCACTGGTTGTAAGAACACACACAAACATCCTGTGGAAGTTTTTAAAAAAAAAAAAATCACTCATTTCGATAAAAACACCAGACTTTTGCACACAAATAGGCAAATTAGACTTGTCAACAATCTTAGAGAAAAAAGTTTGAAATTATTGTTTTATCCTAAAATCTCTTTTTTGCATCTTTATCATCACATTTGATAAAGAAGAATACAGACTCCACATTTGTTTGTGTGTGTTTCACCTGTGCTGCTTGCAATTTCATCTTGAAAACCTCTTTTCAAGAAAACCAAAATTAAATTCCTTCAAAGTTACTAGCAAAGAACATCATCTTTCCTGAGAGATTCTTGAAGAGAGGCTCCACCTGTTTCTACTCATTTTGCTTGTCTTAGGTATGATGACACATTTCTTTTGTTTCAAGTAAACCTTTGTTGTTGCTTTTTATGTTTTTCTTGAATTGATGGTAATTAATTGTCTTGTAAGCTTGGGGCTGGAGTGAGGACGATTGTTGCTTCATCATCACTTCTATAATCTTTGTTTATTGAGACTTGCTAAGGGTTTTTAAATTTTCTTAAACTTGCCCAGAAACAAAATTACTAAAAGAGAAAGAGTCATTAAAACAATTTGTCCTAATGTTGATTTTTTTTCTTTTTTTTAAATCGTTAGTTTTAATAATAATAGACACAGATGTATTTAAGTGTTTATAATGCAGATGAAAGTTTGAAAAATTAAAGCTGAAATGATATTGCTTGAGTAAAAACATTTTTTCTTTTTTGCCAAAAAAAAAAAAAAAAAAAAAATTTACATCATTGTTTAAATAAGTTTGTGCTGAAAAGTTCCCAGCCTGATAAAGAAGCCTTTCCTAAAAGAAAACCTAATGTTTCGTCAGATTTTGGGGAACTTTTCAGCACTCTCTCAAAATGTTTAATTTTCATATTGACCACTTATCAACAGATATCATGTGTGCAATATGATAACAATATTTGGCTTTCCTTTTGTAAATTTTTTTTATCTTATTAAAACTCTGGAAGTTGAGACTTCTATTTATCTATTATTTCACATAATTGGAATTATGCATATATAAACCCACACTATATTGAATTAAACATTATAGACTGTCTTATGAAAATGCAAAAAAAAAGTCAATAAAAATAATTTTGATTATCTCCCTTAGATTAATTAATAAACACACGCACACATCTCCAAACTAAAATTCTTCTTTTCTCTCCACTGTTTGAATCGCATCTTCTTTTGAGTTAAATGGTTGTTGATCTTAGGAAACCATTACCATTTTTTTTTTTTTTTTTTTAACAAAAGTATTCTTTGCTCCTGCTAACAATTACAACCGATAATTTTTGTTGTGACCTTTCTTTTAGGACAACCTTTACAAAAACGCGAAATTTGCATTGCCCCAGTAAATCTCTGGTTTCTCTCCCTCTCCCCCTGTCCACTTCCTTACTCCTTCAGACAAATCTATTTTCACACACATATACACTGAACAATATCATTGTAAACCACCTGACATATAATTCTTTGGAATAACAGTTTGATCACCATCTTTCATTAAACCCTGATACAAATATATTTTCTAAGAGCACACAATATTTTTTCAAAATTGATATGTTTTTACTGATCTATGCATGTGTGTATATCTTTATATCGTAATAACGATTTATTAATGGAATTTCCTCTCTAAAGCCGGTTTTAATCTTTCTCTGCCCATTTTGAAGGCTTTTTCTGTCTGACTGATTTCTATACCCACTTTCCTCTTCAGGTAATTGGTAAGAAAACTTTACAAACAGGAAGATTTTAACCTGCACAATTTGTTAACTTACTAACAATGGTAAAAAGAGAATTTAGGTTAGTGAAATACAACAGCAAATTGACCGTGCTTTGCACAGTTCTTCTTCTTTCTGAGTAAAAAGGAACCACCTATTTCCATCTTGTGTACTGATTGCTTACAAGTACAATGTGGCCATCATTAGAAATTTTGTTATTATAATGGCAGTTCAGTCAAATTGGTTTTGACTTGCCAAACAGTTGTGAGAATGTTTTATGTGATTTGCTTTTACTCATCTTTTTATAAAGTGGCTAAACATAGAAATTTACCTACTTTTCATGACACCTTTTTGTATTAAGGTCCGTTCAAAAAATTGCATTGTTAGAAAATCCTCAGATACCCAAAGGATTTTACAAGGTCATATCATACAGACTGCTTGTTAGGTTTCAATTCTTTTACTGTCATGTTGTTTGTGTAACTAATGTAAACAAATAACAATAGTGAAACACCAATTGCTTAGTAATGATTTTATTTCACTTGACTGATAAATTTCTCAATTTTTCGTGCAGACTTTTTAATGTTTTTATCATTGGTTCTACAATTTTGTATTTTTCTTTACCTTTTAATGCAAACCATCACTCTACAGTCATGTACTTCCTAATGTTGATATCAAACTCTTTGAATTAATTTAGATTTTTGCTGAGGGAGTTTTACTTTTTAAAATCTTGCAGTAATTTTCATCTGTTATCAAAAACTATTTATAAATAGTTTTTGATAACAGATGAAAATTACTTATTTCAGATGCAACAACAAAAAAAGGGACTAATTTATTTTTTTTCTATGTTACTTCTTATTAATCCCTGTACTATGTAAACATTCTCAAGTGTAATTAGATTTCTTTTCTCTTTTCGTTTAGCGTCCCGACTTGGTCGCCGCCCCAAGCGTCTGAAAGAGGCTGGTGGAGAATCCAAGTCCCACACCACTAACGTTCCCATTGCACCGTACCCATCACCATTGGGTTCAAATCGTCGGAGCATGGCTGATTTACAGAAGCTCATTCAAAGCAATGGTACTTTCAAGTCCGATCTGATGCAAGCTTTTCTTGCCGCAGCACAGGCCAGCTTCAAGGAGCATGCCCATAACTCAAACTCCCATAAGCAGCAGGAATCACCTGCTGCTGCTACTGCTGCTGCTGCTGCAGCAACCACTGCTACAGCCACCACAACCACCACCACCACCCCAAACACTAGCAACAGCATTCCGAATGGGGTGGAGTCTGGGTACTCAAGCCTGAACAGTCCAGCAAGTAGCAGTAGCCAGTCCCCTGTTCATCTTCAGCCTCACCCTAATGCAACCAACACAAATAGCAGTACTCCCAACAACACTACTAATGGCAGCACTGCCGCAGCCAGCAGCGCCAACAGCAACAACACTGCCAGTGTTCCCCCTCCCCCAGTGGCCACCAGCTCTAGCAATACCATTCAACTGAATGGCATCAGAATGAAAACTGAACCTGTTGAGAACAATATAGCCAATGGCGTGCAACCGAGTGCAGTCATGGATGGCATAGGAGTGGCTAATATGATGGCTTCAAATGGTATCATTGCCAATGGTATTGCTAGCAGTGGCGTTGTCAGCAGTGCAGCTGATATCATCCCAGCAAATATGCTCAACACAACTGCCAATGGGCTCCCAAATGGAATCCACGAAGGCTGTACTGAAAGGATCTCTACTGGCACAAATAGCAACAAGGACACAAGCCCCTCGTCCTTTGTAATGCCTGAGACGCCTAATTCTACCTCATCTGCAGCCCCTACTCCCCAGACACCATCACATTTTGATGAATCACAGTCAGTCATCAAAGCTGAGCCCAAGTTTTCCCCTTGTCAAATTGGAAGTCAGAGCATACCTAAGTTCTTAATTGATAAAATCATCGAGGAAGGACGACAGGAGCCATCAGAACCTCGAAAAAAGCTGATTGAGCAAGTCACTGTAACTATTGTTGAGGCTCATATGATGACATGTCGGGTAACACATGATGCAGTCTTGGAGGCCTACCAGAGATGGGAAGAGAATAAGAGTAAAATCACTGCGGTAAGGACTTTTTCTTTCTCACTCACTTCAAATGGCTGGCAAAGAAGAAGAAAAAAAAAAAAGTGTTTAAGAAGGAGTCATTATGAAGTGTTACTAATATTCAGCAGTTTCTTGGGGATTTTTTTTTTTCTGCAACATTTTAGCCAGTTCATTTTCATTCTGTAACCTTTTATCAGGTGGAATTTTAAAGAATGACTACCAAAATAATGTAGCAATATGGAAAAAAGCAATGAAGATGGGATCCACCTAAAGATTTAAAAATTTATTAAAAGGTAAAAAATCAATATGTATATTATCAGTGCATTCATAAATGAAAGAAAGTGCTTGGTTACAGACACAGTAGTTTGAAAGCAATTTGTTGCGGGATCATGTTTCGTTGTCATTAGGGACTACAAAAATATTAACATATTCATAAGCTGAATTTTTGTACAAAAGTTTCAAAAAACGAAAATAAATTTTTTCCTTTTTATTTCCATACTTCCTTGTAAAATATTGGTTTAAAAATTATTTTATTTTCCTCTTATTTTTCAGTCTTTACAGACTCAAGAGAGTGCCTCTGAACATATGTGGGGGCAGTTCCTCTCTAATATGGTGCCTGAAATCACAAATGTTGTCAAATTTTGTAAACGTCTCCCAGGTAAGAATGATTCCCACCTAAACCACACCTTTATGCCTCCAGCTAATAAATATTAAATCAGATATTTATAAATGGTTAAATCTGTATGAAAAATGGGTAGAAAAATATTGATATCATTGATTTTAATGTAGAAAGTGAATTCTGCATTACAAATATTTAATTATCTGTCCTCAAATTCTGATCACATATTGTTTTTAAGCATCAATTCTTTAAAGAATTTTTCCTATTCTATATGAAGAAGTGGAGGGAAAGTTCCAAAATCTCCAAACATTAAACAAGGATGATTTTTTTTTTATTTACTACTCTGCATCTATGTGTAGCTGATTGACCTGAAATATCATCTCATTGAAAATTAAAATATATCTGAATTTTTCAAACAGATTAGCTAGTCATGATAATGAAATATATGTAAAGAATACAGCGAATTTAATAGAAATAATAAAAAAAGACAACTTTTCCTCACAACTGGTATGTCAAGAAGTGATATTTTTTTTTTATTTTATGGAATGAGGTGCTGGCAGACACTTCTGTAAGGAAATGTACTTGCATTCCTATAAACAACCTGATAGAAATGTTGATATTATGCATGTCTGCATTTCTTATATCAATTCAATATATATAAACAAGAAGATGACTTGTCTATGGAGTTATTGTTATCCCATAATAATTCCATTGGATTTATTGAAGACTTTTCTAAGCTCACTATTGAAGCCAACAATCTGGATCACATGAACTTATTCAGCAAACATGGACTTTTTGTGCCCACAATTGTCAAAAGGACAGTTTTTCCTGTGACACAACTTTTAACTACCTTCACTTTTTGGCAATGTTTATTGTTTTAAAAAGCAATGATTAGAATTGTAATAAAACCTAAACATATGAAAGTAAATTTGTACATTTTCTTTGTTCTTGAGAATTGACAAAAAAAAAGCAATAAACACTATTTATTAGATTGTTTATTGGAATGGTTGGCAATTGATTCAAACTTTATAAAATGGTAAAGAATAAGGATTTCCTTATAGTTGGTTCACATATTTTAATAATTTAGTAAATGTTTATAAATTTATGAAAAAGAATTGTTTTCATATTTGTTTTTTTATAAATTGGTAAATGATAAATATTGCATTGTATTAGTTTTTAGAATGTTGTAAATATAAAATTGTAAATAAAAAATCTCATAAATAAATAGTGTTTATTATTTTTGTTGTCAATTCTCAAGAAAAAAGAAAAATGTATAAATTCACTTTCATCATATGTTTAGGTTTTATTAAAATTCTAATCATCGCTTATTTAAAACAACAAACATGGCTGAAGAGTGAAGGTAGTTAAAATGGAAGCAGTGTCATCGGAAAAACTGTTCTTTTGACATTCTGCTTTTTGTTATTTTTTACGGGTTCATGTTTGCCACTTCTTCGTCCTTTGGCTGCGATATTGGATCCCGTTAACTTCCCCACCCCCTTCATGCAACAAAGAACAACAACATTTACTGCCTGGGTGATACATGAAAAGTGTGGGTTTCTAAAAAGTATTAGACTTTCATTTCAAATTATCTTTTCTTATACAAAGAATCTGTGGCTTTCAACATGAAGCAAAACGTACAATCCTTACAAAGTCATCTTCCTGACAACTTAGATCATGAGGATGATGATTGCATTCCTCTCAAGGAGAAAATCTTCACTAATTGAATAATATGAACTTTGATTTCACACACTTGTGAGATACTAACTATACACAATAAGCATAAGCAACAAAAAGGGTAGTGCAAAAAAAAAAAACAAAAAAAAAACTCCTCCCAAATGTCAAAGTAACCTGTAAGGAAAAGCTGAACAGAACTTGTAACTCTGGGAAGAAATATAAAGTGGGGAAACTATGTGACCCCCTAAGAATTATAATTGAAGAACATAAAAAGCTATCATCTGAATGGATTTAGAATAAGTTCCAAATAAGATTATTTCACTGAAAAGTGTTTAAAATTAAAAAGACTGTGTATATGAGCCATAAAAACAAAACAGTTGCATAAGCAATGCTTTATATAGTGTGAAATTGAAAGTATTGTATTATCAATTTCTCATACAGCCAGTGAAAAAAAAATCAGCATATCTACTCAACAGATGTGCCTGGATATTTTTTTTCTTTTTCCTCAGATTGAATTGTGGATTTTTGCTGCAGTAATCTGAGAACAATTCAGATAAAACATACATCTGGGGAAAATTTGAAACACATTGAAAACTAGCAAAAGAAAACATCTTGAAATTGTTCTGATTCTCATTGTCAACATGATTATTTTGTGTCCAATGTTCTAGAAAAGGTAGAACTTTTAAAACTTGCACCCAAACATTAATGCTAGATCAATTTTTTTTCTGAATAAACCTTTGTACAGTTTTCATCTTATAAAAAAAAAGTATATTCACCCTTGAAAAAACAACTACTTTTATTATTATTATTAAAATCTTACAAATAGAAAATGCAGTTATATTGTTATTTTTCCCTTCCCAAGGTTTTTCAGAGATTGATCAAGAGGACCAAATCAAATTAATCAAGCAAGGGACGTTTGAAGTCATGCTGGCAAGGTTCTGCATGTTGGTCAACCATGACAACTACACCATGTTTGATCCGGACATGAAAATGCAATGCCCCAGGTAAAGTAAATCTCTAAGTTTTTAACAACCAAAAGAAAGAAAAAAAAAATGTTTTTTTTTTTGTTTTGTTTTGTAATGAAGAATTATCACGATCATACTGAATATTTTAGTTAAGTAATAATTAGTTTTGGTTTTACTGCTGGAAATAGTTGAAATTTCTGTCATCAAAGTTGGTTATCAGTCAATGGTGTTCTATGCATTAGTATCTGTGAGTTTTTAGCCAATTTCAAAAAGTAGTAATGACATTTCTTGGCATCAATCAAATAATTCTCAAATTTAAAAAAACCAAAAAAAAAAAACAGCAATGACTTTATTTAATCAGCTTGGTTTTTGATATTTTTTTCTATATAAGCTTTCAAACAAGTCCACTTATACTGTTGTAAATCTTCAATTCTTTGATGAATAAAAAACAAAAAAACATTGTGTGAAATCTTTATGTATACTCTTTACAATCCTACTTAATTGGTGAGCATGTAATTATTTGTTCTTCCTTTTTGAATTCATCCAGAGAAATAATCCGAGCCATGCCACTGGGGAAGTTCCTTGAGGAGTTCTTTTCAATGGCAGAAACCTTCAACCCTTTGAAGCTTACAGATGGCGAAATTGGGCTCTTTACATCAGTCTTGATTATATGTCCAGGTAACAACAGCCCATTAACATTTCTATGTTTGTATTGTTTACATTAGTATATATTTTCCCAAGACTAAATAGAAAAATGAATTTTTTCAACACGAGCAAAGTAGTGAGATATTCTGCAACAAAACCTCTACACATTGAAATTTCTCTTGTTACTTCCAGTGGATTACTCAATGTAAGTCAGCAACTTTGTTATTTGCCAAAATAACAACAGATAAAAAACAAATGCACTTATAAAAAAAAAAATATTCAGACATTTCGATAATTGTTTAAATATTGGGACTACAGATCAGCAGTAAAATGCACTGCTGCTGGCATTTGTAAAATACATACGGTGTTGGAAGGCATGTGTGTTTTTTTACTTTGCTTATTGAGATCATCCAAGTATATCATTTTATGAAAATAGAGCTTTCAATGACTTTGAAGCAACTGAATTTACCAACTTTTCACTTTATAGACCTTGCTACCTCTCAATTCAATATTTTAACCATCATTGTATCTTTATCTTACTGTACTGTGCTTTCATCACTACCAAAAAATAAGAAATGATTAAAAGTATTTGTTACCAGAAATATACTGTTCAATTTTAAACAAATTCCTATAACCATGTTTTGTGAAAAAAGCTTTTGCTAATGTCCTCCTCTATTCATAACATTTAAAATGAATCTTGATAGCAAAACATTTTTTTTTTTTCTTATAGCATTTACAATTCTTCAGTTTTACCAATTTAACATTGTTAAATTATTTTAATGTATCTGTCATGGATCTACTTTCAGAAAGTTTGTATTGTTTAATTTGAATGACAATTAAGCCTAGAAAGATTAAAACTCAGTAAATAACCCACATAGATGTCAGTGTTAAAAAAAAACAAATTTTTCTAATATTTATCCTTTATTAATATTAACTATTGCTTGTTTAATAATTTATTTAATTTACTTTGCAGATCGTCAAAATCTTTCTGGAGTAAAAGCTATTTCTAAAATACAAGGACTCTTTTTACAAGCCTTGTATAATAAGATAAAACACACTCATGAGGGTAAGTTAATTGTTTCATTAAAACCTACAACAATAGTCTTTAAGAAATTTTTCATTCCATATGTAAGTGGGTTCTATATTTATGTTGTTATTTGGCAATAAACTTTTTGGTACCTGAACACTCAGACTTTTTCAGCTAGGCCAGTTATGTGTTTTTTTTTGTTTTGTTTTTTCAGAACTCAGCCTCTGAACATTTTTTCAGTATGGCTTGATTAGCAATAAATATTTCACAAGATGTGAAAAAATGTTTTAAAAATGTGATAATTTAAATGGATGTGTAATTTGATAGAAATCTACAGCAGCATTTTCAAACTGATTGTATAGAGAGGACTTGCTCATCTGTAAATTTTGGTTTTGCAGCTTTTCAGAGTTTCTCTCTCATGAGAGGCAGGTGGATATTACCAATTGTTTTTAATTCGACTGAATGTAAAATTGTATCCCTGGTTAGTTTGATCAGTCTCTTGTTCTGAGAAACTGCTGAAATAAATATTAGAAATTTGGGGGGGGGGACTAACAGAAGCTGTCATTGTTATTTACAAAGCTGACAGGTGGAATGGGAATAGTATGGTGTAAAGTAGGGAGATGAGTTTTCATTATCTACTCAAGGCTAAACATTTCATAAATAAATACATATTGGAACTGTAATCTGAAAAGTGCAATTTTAAGGTAAGCTTAGCAATTTAAATGGATAAAGTAATTCACTTATTTTCCTACTATTTATTTGTCACCAGCAATGTAATTGGTTCCACACTGATATACCTCAAAAGTCATTGGGGTGGGTTGCCCAAGAATGTAGCAACTTGATCCTTCATCAAGATTTTGTAAGTGGTTCAGAAATCTCTGGAGAGATGTTGAGCTATGTCATCTCAATAGCTGCCCACTAAGTGCATGAAAATAGGCTACTCTACTCTGTCTCATAAATGCTTGATTGGGTTCATGTCAGGTGAATGTGATGGCAACAACATTTGTCTGAAGGTCAAACTAATTCTGGACAACTTGGGACCAATGACATACAGTGCATTATCCTACTCAAATAACCTATTTTTGTTAGGCTATATGGAGTCTACAAAGAGATGCAAACCATTACAAAGAAGTAACTGAACAATGCCTGCTGGATTTTCTGCCCTTGTATCTCTTGCTAGCATATCAGTGTATATACAAATTCATAAGATTGTCAAATACATATAAAAGAAAGTAGTTAACCTCAGAGAAGTGATTACGATTATATACAAAACATGGCTTACTGATAGATTTGAGAAAATGTAAATAATTTATGTAAAAAAAATCAATTTTGCAAATGCTTTTCCACCAATATTATTTTTACATTAAGTAAAATAGAAAAACCTGAGAAAATAGGAGTGAGGAGTGTTTAAATAAAACTAAGATTTCTTTTTTACTATTAAATAAAAATAAAACCTGAAAAATGATTGGATTTTTCTTCATTGAATTTCGCACAATCTTCCTGAAAAACAACTTAGAATATTGTAAAATAATTTTGAGAAGTAATTTTTAATTTATGAAATTAAAATATTTAAAGATTTGATTTCTTTTTATAATGATTAAACTGAAGTGAATAATCATGCACTGTTTTGGTTTTTGTATTTTTTTTTTTTTTTTTTTTTTTGTTCTTCCAGATTATGATACATTGTTTGAAAGCCTTATCCGAACAATTCCAATGTTCCGTGAATTCAACCATCAGCACTCAGTGTCACTCAACAACATCCGCATGAAATCAACAAAAAGTCGATTTGATTTTCCTGATCTGCACAAAGAAGTGTTTGATTTCAGAATGTAATAATCCCAGAAATATATTAAGAAGGAATCATTCATAACAGAACAAGGATTTTTGGTTTTGAAAGAAACAAAACAAAATGAGGAAAAACTGGCGGAAGAGGGGGGGATATTTTAACAAAATCAAAGAAATGAAAATTAAATAAACTTTAAAAACTGCCAAAAATTTGTGCACCCTGTCTGTGACCTCCCTCTCCTGTTCCTAAAATTGGCCAAGGGGCCAAATGTGAAAGAATCAGGAGAAATTGGATCGAGTGAAAATTTAGACAGACATACAGATTTAAACTTGACCAGCAAGCTGGCTTCATCACTGGAAAAACAAAAACTGAACAAAACAAAAATACATAATTTTTTTTTTTTTTTCCCCCACCTAGGAAAAAAAGAAAAAAAAAATTTAACCTTCTTGTCATTGTTTGTTTATTTCTTAATTTTTGTTTAATGAGTAATCATTTTTACATGTACAGAAAAGATCTAATGAAAACTGCAACACTAGAAGACCACACATGCACACAGTGATATCTAAGCATTACACTTGACATAATTATGGTATAAATGGCATACAAAAACAAAATTGTGTATGTAACATCAATGTGTTTGGATGGATGAACTTACAGTTATAAAGTTGATTTTACATTTTTTTAAAAAAACTATTGAAGTGATTATTGTCAGGGAAGAGATAAGAGGTCCTCTTACATTGTTTTTTTTTTCTATTATTATTATTCCTTTAAAGAAAAAAAGGAAAGCTGAAAACAACAACAATAATAATAATTCTAGGATGACATCAGTGATTTCCTGTGCAAATGCTGTTGACATTTATTGAATAATAATCCAATCAGAAAGAAAGCTTGGAAAGTGTAAGCAAGCAAAAGAGAAACTTCAAATAGGATTTGCTCACCTGTGGAATGGCCATATCTCATCACTCTGTTCATAGTTAAGGTTAGTTCTTACCTGCAGATCGGCACCAAGAATCAACAATATCAATGATCAGACTTGAGGAGTGCACACACACACACATATATATAAAACACACACAGAGGAGTTTGTATTGTTGCATATATATATATATATATATATGTGTGTATGTATGTATGTATGTGGCTAGTATATGTATTTACATATCTCTATCCACCCCACTTCCTATTTTTTGATTGTGTGCAAGTATAAATGTATTTTTGTACTCAGTCTGCTTACCAAATCATCTCGATGCAACTCAGTCAGGAGATGATTAATCTGGGGACACTGGAATATTTCTTTTCAATTTCTGAAAGGAAGCAAAGCTGTTTTCAGCCAAATCTCCTGTCCTCATCAATCATCAGTAAGCCCCCCCCCCCATTCAGAAACGCCAGAAATTCTTTTTCTAACAAAACCCAACAAGAGCCTCAACACTTAAAAACCATATGAAACAATTTCCAAAGAGAAATTATTTTGCTGTTGGTTTTTGTTCCTCTTTATTTTTTCTTAAACTGAAACTTCTTCTCCCCCACCTCCTTTGTTCTTCCAACATAAATCAAATATTGATCAACACTTGTGAAGAAAAACTAATCAACTAAAATTAGGATGTTGGGAGGTGATGCCATATTTTCAAATTTAAATCTGCGTTCATTGTTACTATTCAGGTGACATCTACCCATCTAACATTTTTAGTTGTCAAAAAAAAATTTTTTTTTTGTTCTTTCTTCTGTGATTCTTTCAGAAAAACAAAACAAACATAACATTTTCTAATAGAGAAAGAAAGAACTTTCTTTTTCTCCTAACCCCCCCCACTTCTCATTCTGATACTAAAAAAAAAATCACATTGATGCTCTCATTAGTCTTGTCAAATTTAGATTTTTATTTTTTTTTTTTTTAAATTCAACAAATGTTATTGATGCCTAGACAGCAGTAATATATCAATCAAGACTACATTCTCTTTTTGTCTCATTGCAAAAAGCCTTACACAAATTGTTATTCTGTTTATTTGCTGACATTGATCAGCCATGTTTCTTTTTTTTTTTTTATATATATAGAATAATAAAAAATCATTTTTGTGTTTTTTTTTTTTACAAAAATTTTCAGTTGTTATTTTATTTTTAATCAATTTTTTTAGATGCCATGAAAAGTAGTTTTCATATTTTAAAATTCTGGTTACTTTTTGTTCTCCATTTTCATTTTCTGTATCAACAAATCTTTTAATATTTGCTCAATTGAGAGAAAAATTATTTTTTGTCATATTTATTTTGCCTGACCTCATATTTTAGATACTCCATATTTGAAACCTTGATCACCATTGATAGTAATTTTCCAAGGTCATGTGAAAATGAATTAAAAAAAAACAACAAACCCTGCTGTATGGTCAGGTGATTTAATGCAACATATTTCACACACAAAAGTTATTTCTGTATTTTGTTTTTTGGTTAAAAAAAAAAAAAAATAGAAAAAAATCTCTTAGTTTAGATTTTATATCTTATTTTTCTTTGACCTTGAAAAAAAAAACACTATTAATGTTGTTGAATGTTCTTGAAAGAATTGTTATAAACATCCCAAAATCACTTTTTTTTTTTTTTTTTCAAGTTTTACTGATGTTTTAACCTTATTTTATAAATGGAACTTGAATTTGATATTTTCTAGAAATCTAAGTATGCTTCTTTTTTTTTCTTTTTTTAAATTAGAAATGTTTAAAAATCCTGGAAGTAAATTAATGATAAAAAGGTCTATAAAAACAAAATGTCAGTGGTTAAGTTTTTGCTTGTCCTATCAACATTTTCACTTGATTAATGTTTAGTTGAGGATTTCCTAAGCTTTTGAATCAGTTAGCCTCTTCAATGATATTATCAAGTTTTTATTGACCAAGTGTGTGTTCAAAACCTAACTGTAGCTTTTGATTTTTTTTTTGTCATTATTCCAAATTGAATGAATTACCTGATTTATTCTCAAATATAATCGGATAAACTTCAATAATTCTAATATCGTATCACACAACTTTTATTAAGTCCACATTTAACATTTTAATTCAAATAAATGAAATATCGCATGAGAATATTTAAAAAAACTTCTCTTGAGCAATAGATATAATCACTTATCTTTATTTTTACTGGTCAGTATCAATTAACTCCCCTGAAACACAGGTTCACTTAGCTTTACACTGAAGGCAAACGCTATTTCCAACAAACGTGCGTGTATTTGGACCAATTTTTATTGGGGTGTTTTGTTACTTTTCTGCATAGAAATAAGAATTAAATATTAAATCTTCATCCTTAAATTAATCCATTAACTGGTCAGTTTATTTGCAAAAGGGCCTTAAATATGCAATGCTTAAAAATTCCCATTCAAAAATAATCACTCATCTTTCCTAGGTAGGAAGGATGAGCGATTATTTTTGAATGGCAATTTTTTTCTTCTATCAACTCAGTCATACTATTATTCCTTCTTGCAAAAAAAATAATAATAATAATAATAATAATTTGTTTAAAACAAAATGCTTAAGCACTCTTTAACATTTTTATTTTAAGATATAATGTTAGAACATCAAAGGCTCTTTTGCTTATAAGACAAGAAAAATATTTGTTATTTATCTAAATTAAAAGCTGTATTGAAAATTAAAATACTTTTGTAGACAAAATAATTTTCTGATAATTGTTGCCATGGTATTAAAAAAGGTTTTGGAAAATACTGACAGCTAATAAGTGACAAGTTTGTTTATTTTAAAACAAGCAAAAGGTGATTGGGAACTTTCTGAATTTATTTATACTGTTTTTGTATATTGTTTGGGAAGGCAATATAAATAGACCTAACTTTATATATTATATATATATATATATATATATATATATATATATATATATATATATAGTGTCATTAGAACCATCATATTTTAAGAAATACTCAGTTCATTTTGCAATAAATTATTCTTCCATTTTCAGTGGATTCATACACCAAAATAAGTAGGATATAATTAAAAAAAAAAAATTCTAACAGTTTTTCATTATTACGTTTAATTTTCAAATGTGGAAATAGATTTTAAGTTTAAATTCAGATTGTGCATGGACTCTGTGTGTGTGTAGAGAGAGAGAGATTGATATTATTTTACATATACACTCCAATAACAATTTTTATTGTAATGGATCATTCTTTCCTTGTGAAGATAACATCCTTACCAATGAAAATGTAGAAAAAGAAAATGTATAGTGTTAATTAAAATCCATTTTAACTGTTGTTCAGGAATTTTTAAGAATGAATGTTCATTGATAACATTTCATATTGCAATTCTTTGACTCTAAAAGGCTTAATTATTATTTCTGATTCAGTATGCTTTGTTCTCTCTGGTATTAATCTTTTTTTTTCTTTTTCTTTTTTAAATTGAATTATTATTCACCTCAATCACTGAATAAAATGGAATCCAAGATATATTTTTTTTTTTTTTTTTTTTTTTTGTAATTTTATGTGCAAGTATATAAGTAGATTGTCTTCTATAAAATAATAAACTGAGATATATTTGCTGATGAAGTTCATATGTGGGGGGGCATTATTTTTCTTTTTAATAGAAAACTCTGCAACCACGTATATATATATAACTGAGGATGATGTAATTGTTAGTCAGTCAGGCATACCTGTATGAAAACTATGCATACATGTATATTCAGATGTGATGTAAAAACTGCAAACATGTATTAGTCATATTGTTACAGTTATTTTCAAATGTATATCTTTTTTATATGTTCAATTGAGGGTTTTTTTTGTTTCGGTTTTTTTTTTTTTTTTTTTACCTATCTCTGCTCACACCTCACATACAATTTTTTTTTAACATTTTAATTTAATTTTACTGGCATATAAATTTCGTTGCCAGCTCAAAATTGTACTGATAACCAAGAGTTGCCTCCCTTCCTTTGTTATGTTACGTTATGTTATATTGACTTGCAATGTCAATGTAACGAATTGTTTCACTTGAAATCGAGCAGATATGGAAAAAAAATAAGCATTTGAAAATACGTTTTGACATCAATAAATATCTAAATATAATTATTTTGT